GGTACCACTCTTCATCTTATCTGAAAGGCTGAGAAGTGACTTAAGGCCAAAAACTACTTATGAATAATTCCCATCATTATTTTTCCCTGAATTTAAACTCAAGTCCATTACTGGTCATCTTGGTTAGATGTAGAAAAAATAGCCATATGAATACTACTTTTATGAAGATCTTTTAAAAAAACCCCAGTACCAATCACACTAGCATTGGTTTTGTTTGTAAACCTCTCTAGTTTTATGCAAATGACTTGGCATAATTATCTTTCTACACAGTGGAGAAAATTCTTTCTCCTAGGTCTGTTGATGTGTCTCAAAAACACAGCTTAGTAGTCTCTGATAACAAAAGCCAAAATTGTCCAAAAAGAATTAAAAATATTATGCTTTAGGACCATTGAGTATTTTTCTAAGAGATGGTCAAGGTGGTGTGCTATTTTTGAATAATATATTTAATTTAGTTAATTTAACATTGACTGGTAACTAGCTTCAGTGGTTTATGTCATGCAAATCTAGACTACTTCCTTCAGGATATCTTGTTCTTCCCCAGAAAGCCACCCTGACAGCCTACAGCTTGTTGAAAGGATTGTTGGACCAAGGATGCATTGCTGTATCATCAAAACTTGGCACACTGATCCCAAGCACCATATTGAAGCAGCTAACCCCGGGTTACCACCTATTCCTTGTTTAATTTGCACTTTTATATGTGTAAAATGCCTTTGGTATTTTTTTAAATTGCTCAGTAGTTCATAGTTGCACAAGTAGACAGCTCTGTGCAAAATGTGAAGCCTTTCCTGGTCAATGCCCTTGTAAGTACCTGCTGACAAAGTCTGACTTCAAATAGGTTGCTCTCCATTCACTTGACAGCTATCAAGTGATGAGGTATCAACTGCACAGCTGAGAACAGTTCTTTGCTTTCAGATGGGGGAGGTGATTATATTACTCCAGGGGTCCTCAAACTTTTTAAACAGGGGGCCAGTTCACTGTCCTTCAGACTGTTGGGAGGCCGGACTATATTTTGAAAAAAATATGAATGAATTCTTATGCACACTGCAAATTAAAAATTAATTAAAATTAAAATAAATGTAAAAATTAATTAAATTTTAAAAAAGTAATTAAAAATTAAAAAAATGTTTGCTCTGCTTACTCAGGCTGCAGCAGAAGCCCAAGATGAGGTGGGGAAGACCATGTCCATATTCAAGGGACATAGCTACAATGTCCGCAATCATGCTTGTGGCGGGGGAGAGATGGACTCAATTGTGCTGGGGGTGAAGATAGACGTGATCACACTTCTGCAGGGAAGGCAGATGTGATCGTGGCCACCCCCCCCCCCCCCCCCGTGAGCATGCCCGTCTCTCCCCCCCAAGCATGCCCCCACCGAGCATGCCCGATCGTGCCCGTCTTCCCTGCGTGAGCATGACTGCAATCGCTGCCTTCTCCCCACTGAATATGCCTGCACCAGCTCAGAGTTTTTGGACTCTCTTGGAGATCGTTTTCTCTGAGCAAGTCCAAAAGGTCTGAGGCGAACTGGATAAATAAGCATGGTGGGCTGTATCTGGCCCGTGGGCAATCGTTTGCGGGTCCATGTATTACTCCATCCACAGCACAATCCTCTACATTTTAAGTTTGGATATGACATTTTCTACCCTTTCCTGAGCCTTTGCATGCTCAGAAAAGTGGTAAAGTGGAGCTCACTCTATTTGCAGGAGTGTTAACTTTTGGCAATTTAAAAAGCCTTTCTTTTAAAAAGGGGGTCTTGACAGGTTGGTTAAAAAAAAAAAATCTGGAACCATGAAATGTGATGGTTGTTGTAGTTTTTTAACAAGGGATGGTGAAGCAGAGACACACATTCAAATGTTTCTCTTGGGCACCACTGGAGGAGCAGATTGTGAAAAGTAATTTCAAAAAGTGGGAGGGAGAAGAAAAAAGGGTGAGCAGGGTGGAGAAGAAAGCCACAGGAGGGCAAAAGTGGTATGTCATGCAAAAACCTGAGATACCTACAGGAAGTCCAAGTGGGAAGGAAAGGTAGGGAGTCAGATTGTTTACCATATAATGTACATTGTAGGTTATGTAACCTAAGTGCAGGGTGGTTTGACCATCGTGTGTAATCTCCCATTGAATCAAGCAGAGATGAAATTAAGAGGCAGCAAATAGTTGACCAGTGGAGATGGTAAGAAAATTGCACTGACCTATGCCCCCTTCTCATGAGCATTATCACTCCCATCAGCCTTTCACTCCCATCTTCCCCATGAAAAATGGTGACCTTGTCAGGGCAGGGTTCCCTCTCTGGGGATGACTTTCCACAACTAGGGTGCCAAAACAGAAAAGGCCCTCTTCTTAGTAGCCTGCTGTCTAACTTCATAGTAACCACCTTTTTCCACCTGGAGGAGAACTCCTGAAAATTCATTTGGCCCCAAAACTGACCACTTTACTGCCCTACTGCTTTGCCCTGAATTACTAATACATTTACTACATTTCTGTACCACTGAATAGCTGGAGCTTTCTGGGTAGCTCAGAAAACAAGAGTTATCATCATACCAACTTTGCTGTTAGAAGCAATGATTCTTAGTTACCTTGTAAAAAAAATTCTTCTAAAATGCAGGATATATAACTGTTCATTAACTAACTCAGTTCAGTGCATTGTTTCCTTCCACCTAACCTCAAACCAAGTGAACATCTGAAAATGTGCAAATAACATTCATAGCCTAGCTTTAAGACACACAACTGTGACAAAATAGCTGCACTGTGTCTCCTATACTTTGAAATAAATCCAATAATAAGAGCTGTAGAGCCATGATCATCCTTGTTAATTTGTCGAAACTTCATCTTGTTCCTTAGCAGGTAAGTTTGGTGATAGATGTTTCTGCTGCTCAAAACAATGGGGAGAATGCTGCTTTTTTGCTCTTTGTCTTCAGTTTTGACCTTTTGTCTTCAGTTTTGACCATTGTTTTCAGTTTTGACCTTTAAGTCAATGGGAGTGTTGAAGGTTGTTTGAGAAACCTTGTGTCAAATGTGTGCATAAAGAGGATTGAAGTTTAAACCATTAAGAGATGTATGTCTCTGTGATTTCAATTCAGTCAGAATCCAGTGTACTTAAGAATGCAAACCATCAGTAGGTAATGATCCTGAATTCACTTTGGAATAAGGCTGGGGTGAGCTGCTTGTAGCCTTCCAGATGTTTTGATCTCCAGCTGTAACAGCGACACCCAAACTTTCCACAATTTTACAGACTGAAGTTGGAACTGTGCAGTCTTGTGTTATAACAGACTTCTTTTTCCAGCTTGGGTTGTCACATTGTATTCTACAACAGCTGGTCTTGTTTACATTTCTGAAGTGTGTTAATTCTTCATGATCACTATAATTAACACCAACTTCAACATGCAATACAATGCATTTTTATTTTTAATTAAATTTGGGATTTTTGTTCATCAATGCAACTTTGGATGAGTGATAAGGAAGGATGGAAACCATTTCTGACTTTGTGTGTAGAGTATGCTCCTTTGCACTATAATCAAGAGAGTGAGAATCCAACAACACATCTCAGACACTCAATCCTTAGTGAGCTGGGGGGCAAGGAGGGGAGCTGCAATCTAAGGAACTGTACTGCATATGATCACACACTTAGAAGGTATTTTCAGCTTCTTCCCATTAGAACATGTTGGAACAAGCAGTTGCTAGAGAGTTAGAAGATAAGGACCATCTCTGTTAGATATGAGTGGCGGAAATAAATGAATTTGTACTCAAAATCAGGATGCCTAAGGAATTGTAGAAGACTGCTTCTCTATCAAATGGAAATACTAATATATGCTGGAAATAGTGCCCAGCTATCAGTTGATGGATTTACACATCAGTACTATATATGTTTGTTCAAGATATAACTCCCATAGAACTCACTTTCAACAATAGAGTTTTATAGCTAGTACCAACCCTAGGATCACACAAACCAAATCAATCAGCAACCTCAGGTGGAAGATACTTGGCAATAAGATACTGGAGGACAGAACTGAAGTAATAGTCAGTGTTTATTGAGCCTTAGCAGGTGGAACACTTGTCCTGGACTATCCCTTGCTGCAGCCCAAGAGCATTAAACAATATAAACAGTATCAGTGCCAGCCCAGGGCATTTTGCTAGTTAAAATGGAGCAGCAATTAGTACTCCTCACCTTCTTAAATCGAGGTGCAGGATATCTAAAGCCAAGCAAGTTATTTTAGCACAGTGAACAGAAAATTCCACAAGCATGTCTCCCCATTTTAGACAGTAAAAATACAGTTTGCTGTATTTTGTAACAGTTTGCTGCCTTTTCCTGAAAACAGAGAAACATTTGCTGCCTAGGACAACTGTTTCAGTCTGTCAAATGGCCTTGGGCTGCATTGTGATAGAAATTAGGGCACTTCCAGTCAGAGGGCTCCTAGAACTTCTAGTCAGAAAGCATTGAGCAGCTTACTGTTCCTTTGGAAACAGAGGAATTAGAAGTGGTGGGGAAAATACATGGGAGAGTTAGAGGAGATGTCTTGGCAGGATGACAGAGGCTTGAATTAAGGTACTGATATTATACTTGTAAGTAAGATACATTAATAGTATCCTGTACCATTGCTTTCAAAGTGCTGTTGTAAGGGTTTCTAAGTCTCAGGGCTTTGTCCTCCTTCTGAAGATCTTCTGAGGCAGGACATCTCAGGGTGACATGCATGTATCCAAAGGAGAGCAGCCATTTCTGCTTGAATGGTTTGCTCTTAGCTCTTATGTCCCCCTGTTTTCAAGCCTTGCCCACTGTGCCTTGGAGTCTGAGCTTCCCCACGCCAGGAAACAAGTCATGTCTCTTGGCTCACAGTGAGATACAAACAGCAGAAGGGGCACTGCTCCTCATTGCCTGCATAAAACCTTGGGCTGGCTTTGATTTTCCCACTTGACTGAAGTGTTAAAGGGTTTGGGGGAATTTCTCATTTTATAATTTCTGATAATTAATAAAAAGGATTCCTAGAAAAGGTTAATAAAGAATGTTATATTTACAGGTGAAACATGAATTTGGCCAATTTTTCCAGTATGGAAGAAATCCCTTTGGAAGATGTGGACAGAACCAGTATGGAATACAGAGTACTTATGGCCTATGTCCAGTGCCGACTGTCTGCTACTAAATATAGGCAACTCCTAGAAGGGGAAGTAAAAGGCCAGGAGGGATCAGCTGTAGGCAGAGAGGATGTGGAAGTGGCCAGCCCAGAAGGGTTGTCTTCTGAGGGTCATGAACAGCCTTCCAGAAGAGGGACCAGGAAGAAGAAGAAAAACAAGAAGAGGTCCAACTGGAAACACTTTCTGCTTCCTTCTTGTCTAAGGCCCCAAGCTGAAGGGAAACCCCAGAAGATAATTGCATCCAATGAAGATGCTGTAAATGGCCATGTACTAATGCCTCAGGGAGGGGTTGGAAGTGTGCCTGCATCTTTGCCAAATGTGCAAGGTAGGCTTGCTGTGAGCTTCTATACACACACACACACGCACACACACACGAAGTATAGTACATATAACTCAGCTCTGAGCTCAAAAAAGTCTTTCCACTAGGTGGTTTTCCCAACACATAAAATGATTTGGGAGGCTAAATCCGAAGAGACAGACAGATCAATTTGAAGGACAGACAAGGAAGTGAAAAACTTTTTGTTTCTATTGATTTGAACATGAGTGCTTCCAAACAAAAGGTTCCAAGAGCAGTTTAATACAGTGGTACCTCAGCTCATGAACTTAATCCATTCCACGACTCTGGTCACTACTCGAATTGGTCCTGAGCCAAGTCAAATTCCCCCATAAGGTTCAATGTAAATAAGGTTAATCCGTTCTGTAATTTTTTTTTTTTAATCACAGAGGAGACGGGTGTACTCACAGGTGCGATGGGGGGGGGGGGATGGGTGTGATCACAATCATCACCCAATGCGGAGTTTGCATCCTGAGTCAATTTTTTCCTGAAATTTCTGTTTGCAACCCGATTTGGTTGTGAACTGAGGCATTTGTGAGCTGAGGTACCACTGTATTTTTTTTCAGTTGGAAGCAAGCTTGGTAGTACATCTGACTTCACATTTTTGAAAGATACTGCACATTTTCAAAGTGTGTACTGCATTATGTTCCATCCACACTGCCCTTACCCTGCTCTGTCTTTCTAAAGGGGTGTGGTTCAGACATGTCCAGGTCTATCAACAAGCATTAGTCCTGCTAGCATATGGGCCTCTATCTATTGAGGCAGTTTGCTACCACATGCCGGGTGTAGGAAAGCAGTCGTTCTCAGGCTGTTTCCTTCATGCATGCCTGTGGGTTTCATAATGGTTTGTGGTTGGCAACCGAGCAGAGCAGGTGTCCCCAGCTTGGCACCCTCAGACAGCCACAAAACCTTTTTAGTTACTTTCTTCCCATTGTCAAAATATACACATGGATTTATATGTATATCTAGAGGAATGAACACAGAGGAAATGCATACACTTTTCTAGCAAGTATAAATAAGGGTCAAGAAAACTCAGTCATCGATCCAGATAAAAATTATTTGAAGGGGGTGTCCATTTGCCACCCATTTAAATATTGAAAGTGTTGTTAGGTCCTCAATCCATTTCATTCTAGGAGGTGAGCATTTATTTTCCAGTTTTGTGGCATTAGTCTTTTAGTTGTCAAAAGGGTGCAAAGAATCTATTTAAACTATTTGTCCATTTCCATGAAGTGGATAATTTTTTAAAACTCTGTACATCATTGAATATGAGGGTCTGTTCCAGTACAACGTGTATATAAAAAGAGGCAGCTACTGGATATTGCAATAGTATATATTTAGCAGAAGCGTTAGCTAAATTGCACTACCAGCAACCAACAGACAAATGGCAGATATATATTTATCTCCCTCTGTAATGTCTAGTAGAACCTACTAATGTTCTGTAATGATGAAACAATGTGTATATACCTGAACAGAGCATTAACTGGAAGATATCACTCTGTAAGTACCTTGAAGGCTGTCACAAAGAGAATGCCAGAGTGTAGGACATGGAATAATCAGCTGAAGTTGTGACAAACCAGATTCAGGCTAGAAATCAGGAAAAGTTCCCCACTGTCAGAGCAATACAGCAGTGGAACCAGCTGCCTAGAGAGGTTGTGGGCTCCCACACTAGAGACATTCAGAAATAAACCGGGCAGTCACCGGAGAGGAGGTGTAAATTGGTAACCTTGCAACAGCAGGCGGTTGGACCCAATGGCCTTCTTGGCCCTTTCCAACTCTACTATTCTATGATTCTACTGGAATTGTCTCACTTTGCTTTTATTTTAATAGATGATTCAGACATCACTGTTGTGGCAGACAGACTTGCTGAAATAGTTGATAATTCTAAGTTCTACCTTGAAAGAACAGGCAAGAGATTATTGGAATGTACTGTAAGTCTTGAAGAAGATGGTGGAGGTGCCAGCAAAATTGTATATGAAGGAAGTGATGGAAAAGGTATCTTCTTTAGTAGCTTAATGGCTTTCTGTACTTTATTGCTGTGTGTGTGTGTGTGTTTGTGTGTGTGTAACTTTTGTCTTCAGGGAACCACATAGATTTCTCTACCAAGGAGCTGCTGTGCATTTCTGACACAGTCCCGTGAGTTGCAGAAGATTCCAGTATACGTTCTAGAGCACATTTGGGTGAGCTACGTCAGGCTACTTGGGCATCAATGATGTTCTGTACCAAAGAGTACCTTGGAATGTGACCAACATTAAAAGGTACTGTGAGTATGTGCTTTTGAATGTGACCAAGATTCACTGCAGTTGTATGATGGGAAGATCTATGATCAAGCATTTTTCATTGAAGTTTTTCTGCTGTTACTAAACTGGTAACTGTAAACACCTGAGAATCTGCCCATGGATTCACAGGACAGTATTGACAATCTAGTATTAGAAATCAGTTTTTTAAAGAAATGGGGGCAAATTTTCAAAGAATGAGTCTTTATAAGATAGTGCAGGAAAAAAGAGTGCTTGTTCTGTGTTTTCTTTCTATCTGTCAGATGTTCCCTTTCTGCATAATGCTCAGCAATAAGTTCAACAGAAGTGGACTGCATTTATCAGTGGTTGCCAAGCTGGCTGTAACTGCACAGGAAAGCCAATGTGGCACTGTGAGACCACCGTGAAAATGCCATCATGGTGCGCTGCCAAGGTTGGATAAATGCAAGGCCAGGAACTTTAGGGCCAAGACAGAAAGCACTATAAGGCCACTATAAGCACCTATTGTGCATCCACTGTTCTGATATTCTTTGCAGTTTGGAGTAGGCTGGTTCCTTGTGGTTGGCACAGTTTGGAACTATATTATGCAGTTGCTGTAAGCAGGACCCACTTAAGGCATTCTGATACGCAAGTCAGAAAATCTGGATGTGCCATCCCACTAATCCGTTCCCCCAGTGTTAATAAAGTTTGCAAAAAGAGAATGGGTGCAATTGTTAATACACAGATATATAAGAACACTGTGTGAGAGAATTGTTTCTCAAGAGAGTTTCTTAAGGATCATGCCAGTTTCCTGGAAATTACTCTTGTTCTTCGTCGTGGCCTCTGTGCATCACACATATGGGTGCTGTGCCTGCGCAGTGTCTGTAGCCGGGAAGATTCAAAAGTTTTGGAACTCCACACCCCTCCCCACCATAGTATAAAAAGGTAGCGTGCCCGCCATTTCCCCAGTCTTTTTGCGACCACAGTTTGCTGTGCCTCGAGCCTTTTGTCCCTTGCCATAGATATACTTGCTGTTGTTCTAAGCCTTTCTATTGTTCTCTTTCTCTCTCGTTAGATCCCTTGTTAAGATCTCCCTTCCAAGTTACATTCCCTCCCCCATTAGAAGTTCTTTCTAAATCCCCTTTCCCAACCTCCCCAAAAATACACACAAAAAAATCTATCGTTACTCTTTTTGCTGTACTTTGCTATCTTCTTTTTTCCATCGACGGCTCAGCGTGTGGCTTTCCACAAATATTCCCAGTGCGGGGCCAAGATACCCCCACTGACTTTGCCAGAGGCTCAATGCTCCTCTCCTTGCAAACAAAAGGATGAGAGGAAACATCAGCTAGGATAACTCCTCGGTCCATGAGAAGGCCAAGAAAGACGGGGGGACAAGTTGGCCCATAAGTTGAAGAAGGCCAACCAGCCGCAGCATCAAGACTCGGGATCGTCTGCTCTGTCAGTCCCGACCACGGCATCAATGCCAACACAGACCAGCCCTAGCCTTCAGCTGGTCATGCAGCTGACCCCACCAGAGTCCCCTCAGCGGATTGCTACCTCAGCCCTGTCTTCACCAGACCGTCAGGAGGCAGCCTTACCGGGATCCATTTCTGATGAAGAGATCCGGGACTCTCCTCAGATGGCCCCTCCAATGGCATGCTTGCTGACTTCGCAGCTTTCACCTGAGGTTTCCCTGAAGGCCCCGTCTCAGCAGGTGCATCAGCAGCAGTGTGTGATCTTCCGGAGACTGGGTGCAGATGCCCTACAGATTCTCCCATTGGGAGCCTTGAATGACTACCCACCCTACGGGTACTACCCATCCGTGCATCAGCACTGTTCCATCTTGTCCCCGATACTGAGGGAGGCTCCCTCGACGTCAGTGGCTGTCCAACCCAGGTGTCCTTCCTTGTCGGCCAACTCCTATCCCAGTCCTCCATTCCAGTAAGACTCAGATTCGGAGGACTCGGATGCAGTGTCGATTTCACTGGATGCGGTGATTACAATGCAAGGCCCTAACTTGCCTGAGGAGTCATACTCAACATTTGGGAAACTGATGGCGTGATTGGCTAGGTCACTGGAGATCGAAGCTCAGCACCGCTTCAATCCCAGTACCGACAACTTCCACAACATTGTGAAGAAGAAACAATCTGCTGCCATCATCCTGCTGCTGATAACAACCCTGCGTCAAGCTGTGATGGAGTCTTGGCGGTTTCCTAACCAGCTGCAACCCACTTCACGACGATATGAGTCGATGTACAGAGATTGGGAGCAGGATATTCCATTTCTCCTGTGTCATCCTAAACCCAACTCTATCATTGTGGAGTTGTCTCAGGGCTGCGAGACCAGGGAGCACGCCACTCCTCTAGACAAGAAAGGGCAAAAGGTTGACACGATGGCTCACTGTATCTACACCGCCACAGGTCTCGGCCTCCGTATCTGCAGCTATGAGGCGACGCTGGCAAGATATCAATACTTTTTGAAGCAGAAGCTGGAGAACATCACGGTGTCACTTCTGAAGCAGCAGAAAGACCTGGCCTGCATGTTTACTCGAGAGGCGATGCAGGGGGCCATTCCACAACTTTCTACGGTGATGCATCATGTCGGCTGCAACTTGAGAGCCCTCATTGGTACTGTAGCCCTCTGTTGCCATGCCTGTCTCAGGAACGGCAACTTTCCGGATGAGACCAAGAGAAGGA